TGGTTTTCTCCTTGCTTCTCGCTGTAGAATTTCCAGTCAGTCAACCTTCCTGTAGTTCTGGGCAATGTCCGTTTTATATTTTAGTTGTATTTTATTGAAATTGTTGTGTGCGGCTGCGGCTAGGTGTTCACCTGGGCGCAGCCATCTTGGATCCTAAATGAACACTTTCATTGTTATTTAGAAATCTGAGGGCATTCCTTCATTTATTTATTTATTTATTTATAAATATATTTTTATTGATTTTTTACAGAGAGGAAGAGAGAGGGATAGAGAGTTAGAAACATCAATGAGAGAGAATCATCTATCAGCTGCCTCTTGTATGCCCCCTACTGAGGACATGCCCGCAACCAAGGTACATGCCCTTGACCAGAATCGAACCTGGGACCTTTCAGTGCGCAGATCGACGCTCTACCACTGAGCCATACCGGTTTCAGCATAAGGGCATTCCTTCTATGTCTCCTTTTTTTTGGGGAGAAGGGATGAGAAAAGTAGGCTGGGGTCTGAAAGCTCTTAAGATCTTTTCTTAATCCTCAGTGTTCTGAAATTTCAAATGATATATAGGTCTTTTTCCTATTATGCTGAGCCCTTTGAAGATAGTACTCATTACAGTGGTGTTTTCCTATGTAATTTTGACAACTATTTCTTCTAAATTTTTATTTATTTATTTATTTTTATTATTTTATTGATTTTTTTACAGAGAGGAAGGGAGAGAGAGAGCTAGAAACATCGATGAGAGAAACATCGACCAGCTTCCTCTTGCACACCCCCTACTGGGGATATGCCCGCAACCAAGGTACATGCCCTTGACCAGAATTGAACCCAGGACCTTTCAGTCCGCACCAATGCTCTACCACTGAGCCAAACCGGCTTCGGCTTATTTCTTTTTTTGAAACTCCTGAAATAGTTTTCTAGTTTTAACTCCTTAAAATAATAACCATCACCGCCACTGCCACCATTTTTGTATTACTTTCTGGGAAATCTCAATTATTCTTTTCCAACCCTTACAGTGAACTTTTAATCTAAGGACTTTTTTATTTCTAAGACCTCTTTCTTGTTTGATTTTTAAATTTTTAAATTTTATTGACATTAGAAAAAGAGGAAAGGAGAGAGAGACACACACATTGACTTGGTGTTCCACTTACTTGTGCGTTCATTGCTGGGTTCTAGTATGTGCCCTGACTGGGGATTGAACCACACCTTGGCTAGGACAATACTCTATCCAACTGGGCTACCTGGCCGGGCTCTTTCTTGTTTTACAAGTGTTTCTTTTTTATAGTATTCTGATCTTATCTGATGGGTGTATTATCTTCTTATTCTCTGAGATATTATTTTTTAAATTTTTATAGAGAAAGGAGAGGGAGAGATAGAAATAGCAATGATGAGAGAAAGCTGCCTCCTGTATGCCCCACATTGGGGACCAAGCCTGAAACCCGGGAATGTGCCCTGATCAGGAATCTAAACTATGATGTCTTGGTTCATAGGTTGACACTCAACCACTGAGCCATACCCAGCTGTGCTGAGATATTAGTGTTTTTAAAAAAGGTTTCTTTTGTTCCTTTCATTGTCTCTTTTCTCTGAGTTCCTTTTTCCTTTTCTTTGTTAATCCTCACTTGAGCATATTTTTCCATTGTATTTTATTTTATTTTTTAAAATATATTTTATTGATTTTTTACAGAGAGGAGGAGAGAGGGATAGAGAGCTAGAAACGTCGATGAGAGAGAAACACCGACCAGCTGCCTCTTGCACACCCACTACTGGGGATGTGCCCGCAACTCAGGTACATGCCCTTGACCAGAATCGAACCTGGGACCTTTCAGTCCGCAGACCGATGCTCTACCACTGAGCCAAACCGGTTTCGGCTTTCCATTGTATTTTAGAGAGAGTGGAAAGGAGGGGAAGATACAGAAACATCAATGTGAGAGAGACACATTGATTGGCTGCCTCCCACATGTGCCCTGATCAGGACCTGGATCAAGCCTGCAACCAGTAGGTGCCCTTGAGCGGAAGTGAACCTGGGACCTTTAAATCTGCAGGCTGACGCTCTATCCACTGAGCCAAACCAGCTAGGGCTGTCTGAGTTTCTTTTTCCAGTTTATTGGTATTCTGATTTTTCAAATATTTTGAACAGAATACTTTTGTAATTACTCCATAAACTTTATTAGTGGAATGTACTATGTTTAGGTATTATCGGGTCTAGTAATAATTAATGTCGTTTTTAAACATTTGTTTAAAATCTTGTTTGGCGTTGACTTGTATTGACATAACCTTCAAACATGTGGTATCTACAGAACGTGTGAAGTGCAATTAACAAGTTTTGCTTGAAAAAGTTTGTGTTTGGTTTGGTTTTTGTTGCAAAACTAGGGCTAAGAAGATGGCGGATGAAGAGCATATTCGGCACTGCATGCTTTACGAGTTCCAATTAGGAAGAAAAGCAAGTGAGGCTGCAAAAAACATCTGTAGTGCTCTTGGTCAAGATGCAGTTAGCGCCAGAAAATGCCAGCGTTGGTTTGAGAAATTTCGCGAGGGAAATTTTTCGTTAGATGACAAGAGTGGTCGAGGCCGTGTGTCCAATTTTGATCAAGAAGCTCTTCAAGCTCTTTTGGTGCAAAATCCTCAAATTACCCAACAAGAGCTTGCGACAACTTTAAATTGTTCACAAAATACAATTTCCAATCAATTGCGTGCACTTGGCAAAGTCCAAAAGTTTGGAAAATGGGTTCCTCATGAGTTGACCGACAACAACCGTAATCAAAGAGTCACAATTTGCAGTTCGCTCCTCTCTCGTCAAAACCGTTTGCCGTTTTTAGAGCAAATTGTTACCGGAGATGAACAATGGGTGCTGTATGTTAATTTGAAAAGGCGGCCTCAATGGTTGGACAAAAATGAGGCTCCGCAGCCCACGCCAAAACCTGACTTGCATGCGAAAAAAGTGATGTTGTGTGTTTGGTGGAATTTTAAAGGAATTCTTCATTATGAACTTTTACCATCTAACCAAACCATTACAAGTGCAGTGTATAGTGCCCAATTGGAAAGGATAGCCCAAGCTTTAAGAGAAAAAGAACCCGCGCTGATTAATCGGAAGGGAGTAATTCTTCACCACAATAACGCACGACCGCATACGGCAAGAATCACTGCTGAAAAACTGCGCCAGTTGGAATGGGAAGTTCTCCCTCAACCTGCATATTCTCCTGATATTGCCCCTTCCGATTACCATTTGTTTCGTTCTTTGCAAAACTTTCTTCTTGGAAAAAAATTTAATAATGAAGAATGCCTCAAAAATGCATTGACCGAATTTTTTGCATCAAAATCACAAGAATTTTACAACAGAGGGATTAAAATGCTTCCTGAGCGTTGGGCACAAATAGTAGAAAACAACGGCAACTATATTGTTGATTAAATTTTGTTGTATTGTTTAAATAAATTCGATTTTAAAAAGGTATTAGAAAACGACATTAATTATTACTAGACTTAATATATTAGAGCTGAAATAGATAAAGTGATATTTGAGCTTGGGCTTTGAAAGGGTAGCAACATTTGACTAAAAAAGGTTAAACAGAGATCACAGATCTGCTCTGCCCATTATAGTAATCATTAGCTACAAGTGGCTCTTTAACTGAAAATAAAATGAAATTAAAATTCCAGTTTTTTACATTTCAAGTGCTCAAAAGCCACATGTGGCTAGTGACTACCATACTGGGCAGTGCATAACATTTCTATTATCATGGACTCTATTACAGAGAGTCTCTTGGCTGTTGATATAAGATTTGACTTCCATTAGCAGGGAGACTTGTAAATTCTTGAACCTACAAATTGTAAATTCTTGAATTTATAAATTATAAATTCTGGAATATACAATTCAATCACAGTTGAGACATATGTTTACCATACCACTCATCTGGATACATCAAAAACAAAGTAAAGGACTAAAGTACTGCATACTATACATAGTTGTTTAATAAATAGCTGTTGCTCAATTGGTGTGGCTCAGTGGTTGAGCAATTACCTATGAACCATAACGGTTTGATTCCTGGTCAGAGCACATCCCAGGTTGGAGGCTCGTTACCCAGTAGAGGGCATGCAGGAGGCAGCTGATCAAAGATTCTCTCTCATCCCCTTAGATGTTTCTATCTCTCTATCCCTCTCCCTTCTTCTCTCTAAAAAAATAAAAAAAAAATAAATGAAAGTATATTTTAAAATAAATAATAGCTTTTGAATCTAAGAGTGAGATTTAAACAATTATCAATACCAGTTGACAACCTAATCTTGCAATGTAGATCCTGGCATTTAGGTTTTTTTTAAAAAAATATAATTTTATTGATTTTTTTTACAGAGAGGAAGAGAGAGGGATAGAGAGTTAGAAACATCGATGAGAGAGAAGCATCGATCAGCTGCCTCTTGCACACGCCCCATTGGGTATCTGCCCGCAACTAAGGTACATGCCCTTGACCGGAATCGAACCTGGGACCCTTGAGTCCGCAGGCCGACGTCTATCCACTGAGCCACACCGGCTAGGGCAGATCCTGGCATTTAGATATTGCTTAGTAAATAACTGATGACTCAAATTGGATTTAACAGCACCACTGGGGTGGGCATTTGCTGAAAGAGAGAAACAATGTTATTACATTATTTGCTATTGAGTTGGTTTCAGGACAAGCATCACTCCATTCTGGGCAAATCCAAGGAGAATTAATTTCTAGAGTGGCAGAAGGATGTCTATATAAAAAGCTTATGTTAAAATGAGACTTCAACATGCTGAAACCAGTTTGGCTCAGTGGTAGAGCATCGGTCTGCGGACTGAAAGGTCCCAGGTTCGATTCCAGTCAAGGGCATGTACCTTGGTTGTGGGCACATCCCCAGTAGTGGGTGTGCAAGAGGCAGCTGGTTGATGTTTCTCTCTCATCGACGTTTCTAGCTCTCTCTCCATCTCCCTTCTTTTCTGTAAAAAATCAATAAAATATATATTAAAAAAAAAAAAAAGAGACTTCAACATATTAACCTACCTCTGGTTCTATGTTTGTTATCGGATTCAGTTTTGTTCTCCTCTTTTTCTTCTTCATTAGTGGAAATGGCATCTAATTCATGGCAGATGGAGCTACAAATAATAGAATAAGAAAATTTTAAAGTTGGTTCTTGGTCAACATTACTTAGTGTATCCTAGCACATGAATCTCTCAAGATTTTCTGTGAAAAAAACTATATGGCCAACTAATTTGGGATATTCTAAAAGCCATAATCTCTTCTTGGAGTTTTCCATGCATATTAAAGACTGGAAAAAAAATTTAAAAAAAAAAATAATTAAAAGAGCAGAGACTCAATGCCACTCTCATTCTCCATCATGAATAACTCCATAGATTGAGAGGCAGGAAAATGTTGAAGTAACGCAACTTATCCAGCCACTGAATAGGCTGGCTAGAACTGGTACAAACTCCAAATTACTCTAGCACACACTGTCCCCCCCTGCCCGGCCATGAGCACAGTCAGGCAAGATCTACGGGTATGCCCAAGACTGGGAAATCTTGCAGTAAAGAACTTTTAATCTGTTTAAGTTAGCATTTCTCAAACTTATTTGAACTTAAAAATCTTTTTCTTTTTCTTTTTCCTCCAAATTATAAGAGAAAGTCCATTTAGAAAGTTACAGAGATAGTAAAGGTGAGCTAGCTGGGCTGTGTAGATTTAGGAAACAAGTTATAGAGACAGAAGAAGGGCCGTTAGAGCTCAGCAGTAACATACCTGGGAGAAGATGCAGGGGAAGGGAAAGGTGCCAGTGTGCTCCTGAGAGGGAGAGCACACTTCTTCTTGCATAACAGCAGCTGGAAAACTAGTGCTCTGTGGAGCTCACTAGGAAATGTTGCTCTCCTAGGGCATCATGTAGCCTCAGAGCGGCTGCCTCTCTGGCAGGGATCTAATCCAATCTACTTCAAATTCAGAACGACAATCACAAACAGAAAAGTGATCAATGATCTGGCACATACCTTATGGTTGGAACAGTAAACGGATCAAACTGATCCACTTTCTGTAAATCAATAGGCACTGAAATGCGACCTGTAAGAACCAAAAGTTATAAACGAATGACTGTGAATACAAATCATTATAGGCTGTTTTGGCTAAAATCTTAATTAGAAAATTAAAATTTAGAAAAAGGGTTAGACTTATCTGTTAAGTACAATATAAATATAAATTAAAAGTACTTTCATATTAACTGTGCCTTTTATTTTGTTAAAAACACCACCAAAACATAGGTGTGAAAGACTGTTAAGCTAATACCCAGTTGCTCTCATCTCTACTTTTATTTCTGTCTCACTCTTCCTAATATCCTCCTGTAAAGTACAGAATGATCTCAAATTGAATAAGTTTTGGAAAGTGAATGAAATAGATGGAAAGAGTTCATTTCATTACCTTAGTTTATGTGCTGAGATCAAAACAGACACCTATCTGTTAAGCATCTTGAGAAAGCATTTTGGAAATAAAATAGATATTACACACTACCCTTTTATAATATTCACACCTGGGACACTACATAAAATTTGTCACACCTCAAAAATGAGATAATGAATATAAAGAATGATAGGTGAGTAACAAATAAAATAAGGGAATTGAGAGTTGATGTTAAAGACAGAGTAAAAAGAATGCAGCTAATTAATGGGAAAAGGATATAACCAAAATATATTCACTTATTAATGGACACATTTACCAAAACCTTGAATATTAGAATAAGGGGATATCCACTGAAGCTTTATTTATTATTTTAAAAAATATATCTTATTGATTTCTTATATAGAGGGAGAGAGGGAGAGAGAGTTAGAAACATGGATGAGAGAGAAATATCAATCAGCCTCCTTCTGCACACCCCCCTACTGGGGATGTGCTTGCAATCAAGGTACATGCCCTTGTCTGGAATCAAACCTGGGACCCTGAGTCTGCAGGCAAATGCTCTATCCACTGAGCCAAACTAGTTAGGGCTGATGCTTTAGAATTAAACTTAAAATATTAAGCTTATTACTAAAATAAGCTAAAAACATACCTGACAGGTTTGAAAAAGAGGTACATAAATGTATGGACTATAGTCATTATAGATTTACTAGAGGCCCTATACATGAAGATTCATGCAAGAATGGAATTTCCTTCCCCTGGCTGCCAGCACTGTCTTTGCTCCAGGTGGAGCTGCCTTCCCATGCTGCCCAGAGGTTCGGAGTGGCTGGGTGTGGACTGCCTGTGTTGTTGCCATGGCGTCAACACAAGCATCCTGCCCTGCCCCCTTGGTGCCTGTGCATGCAAATTAACCCACCATCTTTGTTGGGTTAATTTGCATACTTATTGGCTGGTGGGCATCGTGAAGGTACTCTTTTAGTAGTGTAGATTAAGGGAAACTAGGCAATTTGGGAGAACTGACTATGTGACAGTTTTCTAAGTGCTTTATATTTTACATGGTTACAATAACCCACTGAGGTAGGTACTATCATTATCTCTATTTTACATATGAGAAAACCAAGGTACACAAAGCAATTTCCCTAACATCCCACACCCAGTGGCAGAGTTGGATTGTTGACACCAAAAAGGACAACAATATACTTTTCTAATGGATGGAGTAAAGTTATGCCAATACACTTTACTGGTAAAGTCAGTTTCAGTCCATCAAATCTTATATGAGAGAAATGTGAAAGAGAAAAGCTAAAACTATTAAAAAACTACTGAGGGAGGCAGCATAGGAGAAAAAGCATAGAACTTGGAGTTTTCAGAAATGAACTTTGTTCCTAGCTCTAAAACAATTTGTTTTTAGACTGTAGACAAGTCACTTCAACTTCTTGGGCCACTGTTTCCTCATCTGTGCAATGAGAGCTATTGTCCTGTAATTTCTAAGTTCTTCTCCAACTCTAACACTGAACCACAGAAACACAACTGAATATGTAAACTCATCCAGTAGCTACTAATCAACAATTAAAATAAGTTAGCTCAGCTAGTGTGGGTCAGTGGCTGAACGTTGACCTATGAACCAGTAGGTCACGGTTGGATTCTTGGTCAGGACACATGCTCATGTTCCAGCCTCAATCCCCAGTAGGGGGTGTGCAGGAGGCAGCCAATCAATGGTTCTTTGTCATCATTGATGTTTCTTTCCCTCTCCCTTCCTCTCTGATATTAAAAAAAAAAAAGTTAATTTAGGTTTTAACTGACAGAACAAGGCCTCAATCTTTAATATGTCAGGCATCATATGTATTCACACCTCGTGATATGCTTGCTAAAACAAATAACTTTCATTTCTTTTTATGGTACCTGTTTTAGGATGAACACTAAAAGGGCTCTTCAGCAAATGATTGATTCCTTTGCTAACATTGATATCCAGCCGAGGAAAACAGTACTGGAGCATGATCTCCCACTCAAGCAAGTATCCAAGTTTGTCATTCTAAAAGGGAGATGCAAGTCCAGCATTAGGATCGGTAAGAACTTTTGAGGATTTCTTTCAAAGTGATGAAAAAATGATCTCCAATCATCTTTAACTTAAATGGCAAAACAATCAGAGTTTAAGAATTATATTATTATATTTATAATACAGATTTCCATGTTATATACCGGATATATGGCCACTTTCTTCAAATGCTCCCAACGCTGAAGTGAACTGTGATGCTTTTGGAAGATTGGTTGAAGGTCATCATGCATTGGTGATGGGTCATTAAGGAACATACTCATTTAGGGCACATCAACAACTTATTTTCTGTGTGTATTACCACAAGAATGCCTAGTTTAGATATAAAATAATTGTTTTCTAAGATGCAAATATTAAGCACTAGAAAATAACCCTGTAAAATAAAGTGGTGATATGACAGAATGTCAAAGTAACTATATAGTTTAACTAAAATCTTCCCCTTGTCTGTACATATTTTGACTGATTCAGCATTCTTTAAATAACCATTAATTCTAGCACTACCAACTTCCATAAAGAGGAAATTTGTTTATGAAATGGCCTCATGTCTTATTGTATCCCAGAGTACAGATACAAAAATATAGAAATACAGGAGATGTTTTGTATAAAAAGATTAAAATCTTTTTATATGAGAAAAATATTAGAAAAGATTGTAAAAAAAAGATTAAGTATATGAGAATATGCAGGCAGAACACATATATAACATCAATACAAGTAGCTCACATATCAATAGAAATGGTCTTGGGAAAGGATATTTTCAGGAATAAGAGCTAAAATCTTATCGCAGCTTTCTTTACTTCCAAGAATATCTTGATCAACCAAGGCATATTCTTCAAAATATTTATTTATTATGCTTATAGATTTTCTGTAGGAATAACAATAACAAATCCCCAATACTATTAGCAACACATACCCCACATAGCTTTTGACTGAATTTTTAGAACTTAATTAGGTAAAAGGGGACTAATACCCTTCCCAGAGTTATGAGAGTTAAGCCTAAGGTGAAAGAACCTAGCATAGTGCCTGGCTTAGAAGAAATATTCAAGAAATGTTTACTTTTAAAACTCCACAACTTAGCAGGTTAACAACATCATAAATACGGGGGTGGGCAAAGGTAAGTTTACAGTTATACGTGCAAGAAAAAGTTTATTCTTGTATTACATATTTTTCCATATGAACAACTGTATATCTACTTTTGCCAACCCATGTATATAACAAGCATAGAAAGCAACCCATTCAGGACAACATAATACACCAGTAGTAGAATGAGGCATAGTTGCCGAAGCCAGTTGGGCTCAGTGGTAGAGTGTCGGTCTGCGGACTGAAGGGTCCCGGGTTCGATTGCGGTCAAGGGCATGTACATTGGTTGCGAGCACATCCCCGGTGGGGGTTGTGCAGGAGGCAGCTGGTCGATGGTTCATCGACGTTTCTAGCTCTCTATCTCTCTCCCTTCCTCTCTGAAAAATCAATAAAATATATTAAAAAAAAAAGAAAAAGAAAAAAAAAAAAAGAATGTGGCATAGTCTACATTTTCTACTCTGAATTGCTTGTTTTAACTCCTCAACAATTGTATAGTGCGTAGCAACCTGCAAATAGAGTTCACACCAACTGTTTCGTTTAATTTTTGCCACAACTCTAAGACAGATGGAACAGATATTATTCTCCCCATTATACAGATAAGGAAGTGGAGGCTCTAGTATTTTGTTAAGGTCAGAGTACTTGGCAGAACACAGACCTTACTCCTAATGCAATGCTCTCTCCACTATCCTAGAGAAGTAGTGAATTCAGTGGAAGAAGTATGGGTTATGGTATCAAGCAAATTTTATAATCTCTCCAAATCTCACTTTGTTAATCTGTTAAATGAAAATACCATCATATCCCTCATGGGGTGGTTAGAAAAACCAATGAGAACATTTGTAAAGCAACTACCTATCATGAATATGTAGCACACAAGAAACAATGAATTAATTCTAGCTATCATTGTAAAACTAGAGGCCTGGTGCATGAAAATTTGTGCAGTGGTGGGGAGGGTGTCCCTCACCTGGGCCTGCCCCCTCACAAGTCCGGGAGCCCTAAGGGACGTCCTACTGACAGCTTAGGCCTGCTCCCTGTGGCAAATCAGGGGAAGGCACCACCCCCATAACCCCCTTGCTGCTGCTGCCTCTGGCCTCCCTTTGTGGGAAGTGAACCGGTGATCAGGGGAACGCGACGCCCCCATCATGCCTCTGCTGCTGTCACTATCAACCATGACAGTGATGTCAAATGCTAAGCCAAGGCTGAGGTAATGGGGTGTAATGGGAACACCTTTATGAGGGGACTGGAATGCCCAAAACCACCAGTCTGGATGGATAAGGACTCCATATGGACACTGCTATTAGTGGGACCATCACAGTGGTGGGCTATAAGAACTCAGAGCTCCAACCACCCAATGCTGGAGCCCGGCTGTACCCCGGGTAACACTCAGAGCCCACTCCACCGGCTGCGCTGCCATTCTAGCTGCCTGGCTTGGGACCAACCCGCATCTCTCCACGTGCGGATGCTGCCAGTGGCTGGGCCTTCCCTGAGGAATTCTCACTCTGTTGGTTTCTGTCAGGTAAGCTCTTCCTCTCTATGTGGACCTGATGGGACTCTACTGGCTTACTGGGAGGTCTCCCCTAATAAACCTGGCACTGTGGAAAGCCAAACATGTGTGAGTGACTCCTTTTGGGGATGCTTCCTTGCTCAGGACACATGTACGACAAGCATGTGCAGGTAACACAGACACAACTTAAACTGCATGGAGTCTTTTCCAACAGACCTGACAAACGGATGAATTTTTTCATTTAGGTGAACTTTCTTTTTAACATCTTGACCACCCTGAAAAATAAACCATCAAAAAAGACCTTTATGTATATTATATGACACCAATGAAATAATCAGAACATTTATATAATGTGTTCTAAAGATATTAATTTGTGTAAAATAGAAAAGCTTATATGCTATTTTATATAGTTTCAATACCTATAACTTTCTGGGTTAGCATTACTTGACTTAATTGAACAAGAAAAGTAAACCATTAATCTTCCTTTTGCAACAAAGGAGGATACTTAAAATATGAAATATCTTTAAAAAATATAGCACTATGATTTTAATTGTTCTGCTAGTAAGATCACCTATTCTGGAAAGTGGATGCCATAAAAGATAGTTTAATTTTGTTAACTAAATATACTGTGCTTGGTAACATCCATTAAAGAAATAAATGCAAATCACCATTAAGAAGAGCTTACCTTTACAAGACTCAAATACTCCACTATCCCAGACCGGACTGCGGAGGACAGTTTTCGAACTGAGTCATCACAGACCCAGCAATGCACGCCTCTTCTTCCAGAGTACACCCAGAGGCGGTGCTTAAATCCGAAGTCCTCTGAGGAGGGGAGACAACAGGTTTTAAAACAAATGTATGAACTCCTGGTTTTTCTTCCTATTTTCATTTTTTACCTCTTATCCACATGTACTCACTTTAACTATACTAAACTATTTGTAGTTTCCCATCCCTCTCTCCCCCATGCTCTTGCTTTTAGGACTTTATCCTAGTCTTGGACATGAATTTCCTCCTGCCCCAGCACTTCCATTTCTCTCCCTTAAAGACCCAGTCAAGGGATATTAAGAGAGTTAATAAATTTAAAGGACTTCGAACAAGGCCTGGCACATAATAAGACCCTATTTTATTATCATTCTTTCTAAAATTTTAATCCTTACCCGAGGATATTTTTTTCCATCAATTTTTAGAAAGAGTGGAAAGGAAGGGAAGAGACAGATACGGAGAAACACTCATGTAAAAGAGACACATCAGTTGGTTGCCTCCTGCATGCGCCCCTGACTGGGTCCAGAATCAAACCCGGAACCCTTTAGTGTACAGGCTGATGCTCCAATCAATGAGCCAAACTGGCTAGGGCTCCACTGATTTTTTTTTTTTAGAGCATGGAAGGGGGCAAGGTTGGGGAGAAGGAAGGGAGGGGAGGGAGACATCAATATGAGAGACATATCAATTGGTAGCTCCCACAAGGGCCCTGACCAGGGCTGGGGATCAAACTTGCAACCGAGGTATGTGCCCTTGACTGGGAATTGAACCCTAGACCCTTTGATATGCAGTCCAACACTAACCACTGAGGGACATTGGCCAGAGCTTTGTTATCCTTCTTATCATCACCTCTTCTGGGAAGCCTTTTCTGATCCAGTCTCTTCCCATTTGTATATCCACTCCTGCTGTCCTATATTCTCATAGCGCCCTGTGCATATTAACACAAAGGCAATCTTCAGTTTTCTTATTTGTCTCCTTCTTAGACTGTGTAACCTACTTGAGGAAAGAACTGTTCTTTCATATTTCCCTCATGCAGGACAGCACCTAGCACATAGAGTTGCTCAACAGATGACTGAATTGGGGAAAAACTCACTGGTTTGATCACAGTTTTATTAGAGTTGCAACTATAACTTTATTATACTCTTTTATTTTCCTATTACATGTTTTAAGGAAACATGTTAGGAATTTACGGGATTTGATTATAACATGGTATAGACAGAGTAATATTTAGAGGAAAAGAAATTCTTACATTTGACCCCACTCACACACTGCTGATACTTGCCCTTCAATGCTCGGTCGATGATGCGTATGGCCATTGTCATGAGGGTCCAGCACTTAGAACAGATGTCTGCAGAACTGGAGGAGAGTCATGGTTACTCTCGGTCAACATCACCCACTCTACCGACAAAGCCTGCAGTGCTTACCTACAACATCTCCTCACATCATCATAGTCTGTCATGTCAATGTCAAACACCAGTTCTTTTTCCTGAGCCTGGAAAGCTCCCAGCTTCACTGTATTATGTTGATTGGGCTAAAAGGGTAAAATATCAATCAGTTTCTATAAGAGCTGCCATGCTGCCAAATATGCTTGAAAAAGTGACCAAAAAAAGTGAAGAAACCACAGAATGCCAAGCTGATGTCAGTTCATTAATACATCCAGAATTGATGATAGTGTAACTTTCATTTACTTAAAGCAGCGTTTGGTAAATACATATTATCATAAAAAAATTTTTCCCCCTACTTCTACTGATATATTATTATCATATGATATTATATAATAAATATTTCACCAGTAGAAATAATAATAAAGCCTTTCTAGGTTTTTGATAAGGAAAAGTACCTATAATTAATGCCCTATTGCAAAGTGTTCTTTTTTTTAAATTAAGATTTTTATCCTTTTATTTTATTTACTTACTTATTTTTAATACATTTTTATTGATTTCAGAGAGGAAGGGAGAGGGAAAAACATCAGTGATGAGAGAGAATCATTGATCAGTTGCCTCCTGCACACCTCCTACTGGGGAGCCTGCAATCAGGGCATGTGCCCTTGATCAGAATAGAACCCAGAACCCTTCAGTCCATAGTCCTGCGCTCCGTCTACCGAGCCAAACTGGCTAGGATGCGAGGTGTTCTTAAGAATCTTTATTTGTTGCTGGACATATAAGTAACAAAAATGTATTTTAAATTTTTCATTAATTCAAAAAAATTTCCCCAATTAGTTTGAACTGAGTCTTTGGCTCAGGCTGTAAGTAGTCTTCTTTGAGGTTATGGATTCCCAGATAAAGAAGACCGACAATATAGATACTTATTTTGATCCATCCAAACCTGCATGAAAATGATAGCGAACTTTTTTTAAAGAAAGGCACAATAAGCCTTTAAAAAAAACAGAGAGGGGGGACACTACCACCATGATTTTTTAAAATTAAAAAAAAATTTACACACACATATTGATTTCAGAGCGGAAGGGAGAGGGGGAGATAAAAACATCAATGATGAGTGAGAATCATTGCCTGGCTGCCTCCTACACACACCCCTACTGGAATGGGCCCTGATCAGGAATTGAACCATGACCTCCAGCTTCATAGGTCAATGCCCAAATGTGGAGCCACGCCAGCTGGGGAATGCTACCATGGGTTTTATAAGGAGACCCATCAAAACTGAATCTTAAGCTCTCCGTAAGGAAAGATAAGTAACTCTCTCCTTTGATCTTGGTCCATCTCATGTCTTTCATGTTTCTCTATTTTTATCATTATAAGTATCAATCCTCACCTGAAGATATGTTTTTATTCATTTTAGAGAGAGGAACATTGATAGGTTGCCATCTGTATGCACACTGGTTGGGGATTGAACCCACAACCTAGGTATGTGTCCTGACCAGGATTCAAAACCAAAACTCCACCAATTGAGCCATCTAGCCAGGGCCTAACCCTAATTTGTAATCTAACAAACATATTAGGAACATGTGGGAATGGGAAGGTCGTATGAGTAGTGAGGGTACAGGTACCAAAAAAAAAAAAAAAAAAAAAAAAAAAAGCTAAATCCTCATCTCCCAGGGTGGAAAGTCAATAGATAAAACTTAAAATGAAAAAATGGGAAGAAACATAAACATGTTATTTAAAGACAAGGAGACAAATACCTAAAGAAACAGCTAAGAGTGGTTGTGTCTGGGGAGCATAAAACAGGCAAAGGAGTAAGAGACCTTTTATTTTTTAAAATAAAAACCTCATAGTTTACTTGACTTTGTAAACTGTCTTCATATTTAATTGATAAAACTCACAAATAAAAATATAAAAAGAAAAGGGTCGCTCTTGGCCCAGTAAGATGAGGCATTTCCTCTGTTCTGTGTCAGGGAGGAGTAGTGACACTTTGGTCCTTGTAGAAAGACATTAATCTTCACCTCTGAAGAGGAATAAACTGCCCCAAAGCATTTCTCCTGCCTACCTTTTCTTTCTTTCTTTCTTTCTTTCTTCTTCTTCTTTTTTTTTTTTAATGTATTTTTATTGATTTCAGAGTGGGAGAGGGAGAGAGAGAAACATCAATGATGAGAGAGCATCATTGGTGGGCTGCCGCCTGCACACCCGCTGCTGGGGATCGAGCATGCAACTCAGGCACGTGCCCTTGACGGGAATCGAACCCTGGACCCTTCAGTCCACAGGCGGATACTCTATCCACTGAGCCAAACTGGCTAGGGCATGCTTGCTGGTCTTTTTATACATGTCTTCTCCTTCCTCTGGGATTTATAGTCAGAAAACCTGGGTTCAGGTTCCAGCTCTATCATGTAGAAATTGTGTGACCTAGGAAAAAAATTATTTGAGTTCTCCAGGTCTGTTTTCTCCTTTGTAAAAAGAACAGTGAGAATTTCTTTCTTTCTTTTTTTTTTTAAAAACATATTTTATTGATTTTTTACAGAGAGGAAGGAAGAGGGAGAGTTAGAAACATTGATGAGAGAGAAACATCAATCAGCTGCCTCCCGCACCCCCTGCAATGGGGATATGCCTGCACCCAAGGTACATGCCCTTGTCTGGAATCGAACCTGGGACCCTTCAGTCTGTAGGCTGACACTCTATCCACCGAGCCAAACTGGTTATAGCAACAGTGAGAATTTCTATGAAAAACAAATTATACAACATCTGAAAAAGTTCGACAAAATCTGTTATCCAATGTGTGTATTTTTCCTCCACATGTGCATTTTTAAGGAGAGGAAGGGCAATTTTAGTATGTTCATTCATTGAACAAATGTGTACAGTGTAGCCCTAGCTGGTTTGGCTCAGTGGAAAGAGTGTCCGCCTGCAAAATAAAGGGTCCCAGGTTCAATTCTGGCCAAGGGCATGTGCCTGAGTTATGGGCTTGATCCCCAGTGGGGGGCAAGCTGATCAGCGATTCTCTCATCATTGATGTTTGTCTCTCTCCCTCTCTCTTCCTCTCTGAAATCAATAAAAATATATTTCAAAAAATTATGTATGATGTACTCTCTCCACCAGGCACTATTCCAGACACTTAAAATATAGCAGAGGCAGGGGGACAGGACAGAGGGCAGGCTGCAACAGGCCTTACTGAATAAGGACTTGAAGGAAGTGAGGGAATGAACCAAGATATTTGGGGAAATAGATTCTAGAAAGTTAAACTTCTCGAGCAAGGGTAGTGTGACAGGGGTGGGGTGAGTGAGGGGGAAAGAGGGGCTTTTACTGTGAGTGAAATGGGTAGCAACTGGAGAATGGTTTTGAACAGAGGAATCACAGGATCTGACTTTTTAAGGATCACTCTTACTGCTGAATTAAGACTAGACTCTAGAGCAGTGGCCATGCCCCACCTCAGCACCTCTATAATCCTGATGACATAATACTGTATATGAGGCCTCTAGAACCATAAGAAATGCAAAAAATTCACTGTTAATAACTCATTCTCAAATTGACCCCCTAAAAATCAAACTGCCCCCACTGCTGGGAACCACGGGTCTAGAGTCTACAGGAGCAAATTGTTAGGAAGTTTTTATAGTCATTCAGATGAGAGATGATGATGATGGTAGTAGCACTGGTAGCACTAGTTGGATTTTAGGTATTATTATGGTATAGATTTCCTAATACAAAGGATGCAGGAGTGGGAGGGGAATGAAGAATAACTCCAATGTTGGGAGACAATGTAATTCTCTTTTAAAACCCTTCCTTAAATCATGCTGATTTCCACATCTAGTCTTTCAGCCACATACTCATTTTTTTCGTACTAACGACAATACAACCAATTCTCATACAAAGTATTTCCAATCAGTAATGTACAGAGTCCAAGAACAACAAAAGAAATACAATCAACTTGCAAAAACAGTTAAATAAGTATTCCTCTTCTATTAGAATAAATTATAAAAAATATAATCACAAAATGCTGGGGTTTCTTGGTGCTTTTAAAAAAAAATCAACAAAATACATAAAAACCGAATTCCTTACCCTGTGGGAATATACCGCTCCTATATCAATCTTGTATGGATTCATTTTCTGCATCTCCTTTTCCAGATCACTCTGGTTGTTGAAGGATTGGTAGCGAATGTAAATATCATCTTTCAACGTGAATGAAAATTCACGGTGTTGAAAGTAATTCTTTACCACTGCAAATAAAGGTACATTTTAAAGGTAATTTTGATAAGCCCTTTGTGCCCAACATTGTGCTACAAGCAAAACAAATAAAAAGCCAAGGCCTCGTTTCTAATTTGAAGGGGTTTATTCCCACACGGCATCTCATAGAGAAAAGTAAAAACAAGAAAAAAAGATGTAGAAATATTTTATTTTATTTATTTATTTAAAATATATTTTATCGATTTTTTTACAGAGAGGAGAGGGAGAGTTAGAAACATGGATCAGCTGCCTCCTGCACACTCCCTACTGGGGATGTGCCTGCAACCAAGGTACATGCCCTTGAACGGAATCGAACGTGACACCTTTCAGTCCGCAGGCCGACGCTCTATCCACTGAGCCACACCAATCAGGGCTGCAGAAATATTTTAAATGTCTAAGGCCCCCTCAGTGTCCTCGGTGGGGACTAACGCATTCAGCTGGGACGAGGGAAGTGCCTCTCCTCCTCCGGGAGATGCCCCTCTCACCCAGATGCAGGAGATGCCGGTGCGACGTCACCCTACGCCCCCGTAGCCCCTGGCTCGGCTCAGGCACCGAATCCGAGTCCGGCCACGCAGCGGTAAGGGCGGCGGCTCTGCCTTTCAGAGTGGCCGCAGGCGGGTCATGAAGTCCTCCCTCGGCCCATTCACATTTCGGAGGTTGTGGTGGGGAGGGCTCGGGATAAAGCCTGGGCACTACATCTTGACAGGCGTAACCCCTCCCGGAACCCCCTTCGCACACCCTTTCCGACCGACTACCCTCCCGCTCCCCGCCGCCATCACCTCCGCCATAGTTGAGCCAGCGATAGTACTGGGCGTAGGGAAAGAGCCTCCGGTAGTAAAGCTTAAGCAGCTCGGGGAGCTCGGCTGGGTCAAAGGCCTCCATGGAGCGCGGTACTCAGCCCCGGCAAGACGCTGCAAAAATTGGCGGGAACCACACAACAGCCTCCCCCAAGGCGCAGGCGCATCGTGGCCGCGCCCGCCGTTCGCAGGGGTCGCTGGGAATTGTAGTTGCCACTCGGGAGGTTGGCTTGGGGCGTGGGAGGAGCTCCTGGTGTCCCCGCCCACCGGCTTCCACAAAGGGTCCTCTGCTCAGGTGCACAGAGGGAGGCCGCGCCTGTTCCAGGGAGATCTTTTGCGGAACGGTGAGCCCTTGAGCCTATTGACTTAGGTTATAATGAAGGAGTTAAAAAAGATGTTCGCTAATTTATGAATATGATAGAAATAATACATTTAAACAATGTGAACCAATATCTTTCAGAGGGTTTGGAAATTAGTTCTTCATCGGATTTCAGGGTCCAACATGTGGAAATATTTCTCAACCAAATGGAAAAAGCGAAGACTATTTATTCAGAGCTTGCTGCTACATCACCAGGGAGTCAGCTACTGTCGCTTGCATTTTGGCAGACTAAAAGGCTGGCAGGGGAAAAGGAGAGCTTTATGGTGGAAAAAGGTTTCAGGTGTGCACTGATTCAAGGCTATTTGTATGGGGAAGATGTAGGTGGGCTAACTAGGGGTGGGGCATCCTATGTGATTTGGTGCCTATTGGCTTTTCCCCCCTGGTTGGTCCTAAATTAGAAGTAGAGACAAAAATTAGGGAAGTTGCCAGTTATTAATCAGCCTCTGGCCTTTTTGGGCCAATTGTTACAGGGATTATTGTTTGGCTTCCTAGACTATCACTAGAGACAGGGGTCTGATTTATAGCAGGCTGGCTTCCTGGGCTATTTATTATAGAAAAGAGGGTCGGTTTCCTGGGTATGCTTCTGCAAGTTGTGGGTCAGAGTTCTGTGTTTAAATATGGTCCGGTTATTGTTTTTTTTTTTTTTTTTTTTTTTTTTGTATATCCAGTCTCTCAAATAGAACACCCAGGAATACTAAAACTGGATTTAGAGGAAGCTTGCAGAATCATGGAGAGCTTGACAAGATGAAAGGAGCCTGTGTGCTATAGGTATGCAGATTAGTCAGTCAGTCTTACCTGGTCTCCTCCTTGCAAATGTGGACTGTGGATGGGCAGTCTGACAGCAATCACTATTGTGTTACTTTAAAACCATCATTTTCATGAATTTTTTTTTTTTTTACATTTTAAAATATATTTTTATTGATTTCAGAGAGAAGGGGAGAGGGAGAGAGAAATATCAATGACGAGAATCATTGATTGGCTACCTCCTGTATGCCCCCTTACTAGAATCAAGTCTGCAACCCAGACATGTGCCCCAACAGGGAATCAAACCGTGACCTCCTAGTTCATAGGTCAATGCCCACCAATGAGCTACACTACCTGGACTGTTTTATATATTTTTAAATTCACTTAATGCTTAATTAATACAGGACAGCTGAATTTTCCTATCTACTTTTGCATTAAATCTTTTATGACATCACCTATCATGCACTCTGAAAAACTCCACTGCACACTTATGAGAAAATCAGAGTGCAAAAGATATTGTCTTACTATTGTTATGAGTATTTTTGCCTTGTGCAGTTTCTGGACCATACTTTGAGAATCACGACCCTATCCTTAGGAATATATAGGGAGTTTTCAAAAACCCTCTATGGGAATCTCATTTCCCAAATTTTCTTTTTAACTTTTTTGTTCCACTTTGTTTGCTTCAACTGGTATTGTTCTCAGGCAGTTATGGTGTTATGTTAGACAATAGCCAAGAATTTTTATTTATTTACTAGAGGCCCAGTGTATGAAATTCATGCACTGGGGGGGGGGGGGGCTGTCCTCTAGCCCAGCCTGCACCCTCTCCAATCTGGGATCCCTCTCCAATCTGGGACTGCTGGCTCTCAGCCGCTCACCTGCCTGCCTTCCTGATTGCCCCTAACTGCTTCTGCCTGCCAGCCTGATCACCCCCTAACCACTCCCCTGCCAGCCTGATTGATGCCTAACTGCTCCCCTGCCAGCCCAATTGCTCCATAGAATGTGTCTTCCCCTGCAGGCCCTGTCATCCTAACTGCCAGTCCAATTGCCTGCAGCTGCCCTCCTCTGCAGGCCCTGTCACCCTAACTGTCCTCCCTTGCAGGTCTGATTACCCACAACTGCTCTTCCCTGCAGGCCATCTTGTGCAAGGGCATGATGGTCAATTTGCATATTACCTATTTATTATATGGATTTTAATAGAAGCACTAGAGGTAGGGCTTATATCACTGAACGAGTTCTCAAATCTAATAAAGACAAGTGCTGTGAATGGGGCTTTTCTAGGGAACTGCAAGACAAAACAAATAATGACAATTCTCTGAAGATGAGTCCATTTGAGAGCTTCAAATCCATTTCCATCCCTCCAGTGGCTGCTCTACTCCAGGTTTTCACAGCTACCACAGTCGCAAGGTAAGATGTCATTTTTTCAATTGAAGAATTAGCTGTAAGAAAGAGGTTTATTTATTTATTTATTTTTGTTTGCTTTAGAATTGGGAGCTGTCATTTTGGACAAGACATTTAAAACCCTACTGTCAATCTTCCATCCTAAGAGATCTCATCCCTCTGAAAGGAAATGCCTTCCAATTCCTCCTAAAAAAAAAAAGCAAAACAAAACTTGAAAATTGTTTCTTCTGCTCCGAGACAGAAAGGCCATTGTCTTCCTACATTTGGCCCCACTGACCTTGACCCGACGTCCTGGACCTGGATCCCAGATGGGGAAAGTGGGTGGGTTGATTGACATACTGGCAAGCAGTGTGAATTAGGAATCTGGGGATGGGCAGGGCTGAACCTCAAGACGCATGAGTTTATACTTCTCAACACCTCATCTCCATTCCAAATAGCAAAGACATCACAGTTAAACTTAATTAGGGGTATGTGATAAAGTGACAAGTTTCTCACTAAATGTTCTCCTTTTCCTTGCCTGCCCTGGACGGACTCGGAAGACCCCCTGAAGTCCTTGCCCAGAAGAGGTGTCTGCACAGGGAATGAGGTCTAGGATTTGCGTGTGAAATAGGGGAGTCCTTGCCAGGCCGAACCCCTTCCCCCGGATTTCTGATGAATTTTTGGAGAGTTCTTTCTAGCTCTGTGAAATATGCCATTGGTATTTTAATGAGGATTGTATTGAATCTGTAGATTACTTTGGGTAGTATGGCCATTTTATTTTATTTTATTAAAAATATATTTTATTGTTTTTTTACAGAGAGAGATAGTTAGAAACGTCAGTGAGAGAGAAACATCGACCAGCTGCCTCCTGCACACCTCCCACCGGGGATGTGCCCGCAACCAGTGTACATGCCCTGACCGGAATCGAACCCGGGACCCTTCAGTCCGCAGGCCGTCGCTTTACCACTGAGCCAAACCGGCTTCGGCTAGTATGGACATTTTAATGATGTTGATTCTACTAATCCATGAACATGATATGTTCTTCTATTTGTTTATGTCTTCCTCTATCTCTTTTTCCAATATCCTGTAGTTTACTGAGTACAGGTCTTTTACCTCCTTAGTTAAGTTTATTCCTAGGTATCTTAATTTTTTTTATTTTTTTTTTATTTTTGGTGTAATGGTAAATGGGATTGTTATTATTATTATTTTTTTTCATTTCTCTTTCTGTGAGTTCATTATTGGTGTATAAAAAGGCATAGATTTCTGGGTGTTAATTTTGTATCCTGCTACATTGCCGACTTCATTTATTAGGTCAAGTAGTTTTTTGATGGAGTCTTTGGGGTTTTGTACATATAGTATAATGTCATCTGCAAATAAGGACCATTTTACTTCTTCTTTTCCAATTTGGATGCCTTTTATTTCTTCTTCTTGTCTGATCGCTATGACTAACACTTTCAGTACTATATTGAACAGGAGTGGTGAGAGTGGGCATCCCTGTCTTGTTCCTGTTCTCAGGGGAAATGAGTTTAGTTTTTGCCTACATATGATGTAGACTGTAGGTTTGTCATATAAGGCTTTTATTATGTTGAAGTATGATCCCTCTATTCCCACTTTGCTGGGAGTTTTTATTAAGAAAGGATGTTGGATTTTGTCAAATTCTTATTCTGCATCGGTTGATATGACTATGTGATTTTTGTCTCTTAATTTGTTTATGTGATATGTCACATTTATTGATTTGCAGATATTGTACCATTCTTGCATTCTCAGAATACATCCCATTTGGTCATGGTATATGATCTTTCTCGTGTAATGCTGAGTTCGATTTGCTAGAATTTTGTTGAGGATTTTAGCCTCTATGTTTATCAAGGATATTGGCCTATAGTTCTCTTCTTTTGTGGTATCTTTATTTGGTTTTGGAATTAGGATAATGCTGGCTTCATAGAAAGAGCTTGGAAGTGTTCCTTCTTCTTGAATTTTTTGGAATAGTCTAAGGAGAATGGGTCTTAGTTATTATTTGAATGCTTGGTAGAACTCATCTGTAAAGCTGTCTGGACCAGGGCTTTTGTTTGCTAGAAGATTTTTGATCATTGCTTCAATTTCTTTGGTAGTTATTGGCATATTCAGGGTTTTTTATTCTTCTTGATTGAGTTTTGAGAGTTTGTATTTTTCTAAGAATATGTCCATTTCATCTAGCTTGTCCATTTTGTTGGAATAGAGTTGTTCAGAGTATTTTTTAATAATCCTTTGTATTTCTGTGGGATTGGTTGTTACTTCACCTCTTTCATTTCTGATTTTGTTTATTTGGGTCCTCTCTCTTTGCTTCTTGTGAGCCTGGCTAGAGGTTCATCAATCTTGTTTATCCTTTCAAAGAACCAGCTCTTGGTTTTGTTGATCTTTTGTATTGCTTTTTTGGTCTCTATGTCATTTATTTCTGCTCTGATATTTATTACTTCCTTCTGCTTATGCTAGGCTTTTCTTGTTGCTCTCTTTTCAACTGAGTTGTAGGGCTAGAAATTTATTGCCATTTTTTCTTGTTTTTTGATGTAGGCCTGTAGAGCTATGAACTTCCCTCTCAAGACTGCTCTCATTGTGTCCCATAGATTTTGGATTATTGTGTTTTCATTGTTGTTTGCTGCATGATGCTTTTTATTTCTTCTTTGATCTC